TAAGCAAGCATTGCAGTGTCCCAGGGGCATCACTTCAGCTTTCCAGAGCTGGAATGACTAACTCATGGCACACTTTAGACCTCTTCTGCAGCCTTCCTCCATACCTGGCTTATGAGGGAGTGCATTTATTTCATCAGCACTTACCCAGCTCCATTCCCATCACATGTCTATCCCTCCATCATAGAATCAACCACATTGGAAAATACCTCCAAGATCATCAAGTCCAACCCTACTGTGGTCACTAGACCATGGCACTAAGTGCCACATCCAGTCTCAGCTTGAAAACCTCCAGGGATGGTGGAGTTTGGAAGGAGAATCTATCTCTGGGACCTTCTTACCAAGAGATCTGGTTGTTTCTGAGGTTGTTTCTGGGGTCCTGCCTCAATCCTGATCTCCTCCCTCCCTTACCTTTTCCTTTTTCTAGAAACAGCAGCTAAGGGAGAGCTGTGCTGTTGGTAGCAGAGAGAAACCAGCCCTATGAGCAGGTGATTTCAGTCCTAACAGAATTACCACGGGCCTGGCACTCTCTGAAATGAGTCACCCATGTTTCATACCACTGATTTCAGACCCTGGCATTTTCAGTCCAAGCCACAAGCAGTGCTCCAGCAGGCACAGGCTGTATTTTAAAATACCATGGCAGGGCTAGAAACAGATGCTCAGGAGCAGAGCAGAAGGTACAGTAATGAAGCTTTAGTGGGAGCACATGGGGGACATGCAGGGAATGCAGGAGCCACCCCTGACGCTGGCTCAGCCCCTGGTACATAAGCCTTGCTGGGAGGGAGGCAGAGGAAACAGGGATGGAAAGGCCCAACACTGGTCTGCTGAGGCTTCCAGTGAGCTGGAATGATGAGGAGCATGGTCAGAGCACCTTTCCTTTCCTTTCAAAGTGCTGTGCTTTCAGCACTAGTTTGCTTTAGCTCCATCCTCATCCCCCCAGCTCCTGGGGATAAAGTGTTCAGCCCATTCCTCCTCTGAAAGCATCTCCTGCCTTATACCCTAGTTATACTGATGGGTATAAATTGAAAGAGGGGAAATTCAGGTTAGATATCAGGAAGTTTTTCCCTGTGAGGGTGGTGAGACACTGGCACAGGTTGCCCAGGGAGGCTGTGGCTGCCCCAACCCTGGCAGTGTTCACAGCCAGGTTGGATGAGCCTTGAGCAACCTGCTCTGGTGGGAGGTGTCCCTGCCCAGGGCAGGGGTTGGGGCTGGGTGATCTCTAAGTTCCATTCCAGCCCTTTAACAACACATAGTGATACTATGATGACAGCCCTGAAGCCAAAACCAAGCTGCTGGCAAAACTTGGATGTTTTCAGCAGCCACTCACAGCCACAAGGCCCATTGCTCTCTGATACACTCACTTATCAAACCACAGCAATAACCTCTTAAATCCTCAGAAATTTCCCAGGAACTGCTTTTGTTTATAGGCATCCCATTTTCAATTGTGCAACCAGGATGGGAAAACACATAAATGGAATCTTTATTCTGCACACTCCCAATTCTACAGCATCAAGCCTCAACCCCTGAGGAGTCACAGTACATCACCTCCTGATTAATGAGGAGTGCCTGGGTCGAGCTGTGCTCCCAGTCCTATAGCTTTAATCCTCAACAGAGCAAACCCAGTGGGACACACAGTTGCTCCCAAGCCCACTCAGCACCAAGAATAGCCCCTAATGCTGTCCTGTCACTTGTCACTGCACTGGTGCCAGGCAGTGTTAGCAGTCAGCAGCACAGTACTCCTGTTTGCAGCTCATCACAGCTGACTCTGTGATTTCTGCACGGGGAAGTCACACTTCCTACACAGAGCTGCTCACTGGTGGCTCCAAGGCTGGGATTTAGAGTCCTCTAGTGCTGGAAGGGCTTGAGAGCAGCTCCAGTGAGATGTCCCTGCCAGTCCCTCAGCTCCTGGCCAGCTGTTTGTCGTGTGCCGGGGTGAGCCACCCCCACAACTAAAATCCAACCCCAACCTCTCAATCTGGGCATAAACAACAGAGACAACTGTCACCTACACCCCCTCAGGTGCTCCCCAAATGGGATGTGACAGCAAGGGAAGCTTTAGGCATTGCAGGTGCCAAAGAACATGGATCAAGGCTCTTCTCCCAGCCTTGGGCACATGAGGAGCTCAGCACTGCACACTGTGCACCCAGGTCTGCTCACCTACTGACAGTCATCACCTCTCTAGGCCCAGCAAAGCAATATTTCCATCTCAGCATCCAAACAACATTCCCCCTTCCAGCCCAGGCTGGAGCACCCATCCCTTGAGCCACAAGGAAGTTCATACCTGCTCTGAGGTAGCAGCTCCTGGGGCTGTTTTCTTCTCATCCCACTCCTGCAGGGCATTCATGTGTTGGAAGATCTTTGTAGCAAAATATAAATCCATGGCACGAGCGAAGTTAGCAGCACTAACTACACTAACTAGAGCTACAAGAAGCCTCTACTATGTCTTGGCTCCACTTTTCCCCTCCTGGACTTCATTTGGCACCTTACATATTAGAAGGACAAATTAGAATTTCATGCATATTTCATATACACTTAATCACTTGGCAAAGACCAAAACACTTCCCCATTAAGTGGAATTTATGCTAAATAGTGTTTCCATTAGGCACCAGTCACTGCCTGTTCATAGGTTAAACCAGTTCCCAAGGAAAGTCTCCTCTGTTAGGGGAGTCTGTGACAGTGGGTTCCTGCCAAGTGAATAAGCAGGACAGGGTTCCCTGTGTTGGGGCTAACAGCAGCCTCAGGGCAAAGCAATTCCACAAAAAAACATCCTGGTCAACAGGACATCAGGTGCTTTTCACCCAGGGCACAGTGCAGTGCTGCTGCCTGCACCACAAAGACTTAGGGCCCTGTTTGGTGCCTCCCTGAGCCATTTGGGTCCCCACAGAGCTCTAAAGGGACAGAGCAGAGCAACCAACACAAATGTGTGAGGCTCCTAAACCTGAAAGCCCTTTCCAGGAGAATGACAGCATCCTTGTGCTGGCATCTCCCCCTGTACACCCTCTAGTAAAAGACATGCAGCCTTCAGCTACTCCATACCTTTCTGCTGAGCACCTAGTGCTACTCTTCCTTCCTCCAACCAGCAAAGCAAACCCTGCACAGAGCCAGTTTGCCTTTATATAGTCTCTGCCCTAATCAGAGTTCATTTGGCTTTTAAGAAGTAACTGGGCTCAGCTGTGCACCCAAACACATTGCACCTGGATTGGGGTTTCACTCCACTTTCCCAGTCTCCCTGCTCTGAGGAGTGGTCTCTGAGGCTCACTGTCTCCTTTAGCTCATGGGAAAGGAGCTGTTGAGGTTAAAGCAAGGTACAAGTAGGAGTCTCCTGTGGTTTTCCTGTTTTTGAAACGGTCTTAGTGTCTCATTTCTTGCAGAAAAAAAAATAATTTTCAAAGCGCTACTGAAATTGCCACAGAGGTAGGAACAAGCTCCTCTTGGCTGAGAGGAGCTGAAGGGCTAAGTTTTGGGGTTCCCAGCTGAGGTCAGGCACAGCTGGGAACCCCAAAAAACTGCACCCAAAACAACCACTAGAGATGTAGGAGATTTAGCTGGGGTTACTCTGCTTTTCAGGGAGGGGAGGAGGAATCGGTGCTGGCAGTGCTCTGGATTCCAGACCCGAGGCTGTCTCAGTGGGCAGCAGCAATTCCTCCTTCTCCTCCCTGTTTCCCTGCATCCTCGAACAGCAGAGCTGATGCTGCTCTGCTTTGTAGCTGCTGCTGCTGCTGCCTGACCTAAATCTGTGCCGTGTTTGCCACTCGGGAGCTCTGGAGTGGTTTGCCCCCTGGGGGGGTCTCAGCCAGGGCAGGCAGAGGTGCAGCTGGGGGCACCAGCCCTGGGGGATGCTCCCTGCCAGCTTTGGCTTTGATATTTTTTCCCCCCCCCTTATGTGAGCCTATTGCATAAGAGGGATTTGAGGGCTGCTGCTTCACTCACCCCCCCTTCTCTTCTAGAATAAAGACCTTGTTTTTCCAAGTGTTTCACTCTCCAGTCGCTGGTGGAGGTTAAACCAGCTCCTTACCCCGAGTGGTGCTCCTTGCTGATCCCGGGGTCAGTGAGAGCCTTAGGGTATCAAGATTAAGAAGGGCTTAGCCCTGTATTTTTACAGCTTCCCCAGGCTGTGAGCTCAGGGGTTAGCAGCCCTGGGCGGCGTGCGAGGGCTCAGGCACGCACGTCCACTGCTGCAGGATGGGGCATCCATCCCCTGCCTGAGCTACAGCCACTGCTGAGCTGCTCCCCACGGCTCTTCCAGCAAGGCTGGCTGGCCCTGAGTGCTGGGGATGGTTGCTGTGGGTTTGCCCTGCACTTGCTGTGAGAGTTTGCCCATAGAAACCAGACCAGAGCTGGCACAGCAGTGCCAAATGCGACACACTCAAGGGAATGTGGCTGTGTTTGTGCTGTAAAGCAGCATGTCCTTTAGGGTACAATCACCAAATCACAGAGTATCTTGAGCTGGAAGGGACCCACAAGGATCATCTAGTCCAACTCTTCACCCTGCACAGGATGTCTCCAACACTCCACCCTGTGCCTGAGAGCATTGGCCAAACACTCCTGGAGCTCTGTCAGCCTTGGGGCTGTGACACTGCCCTGGGGAGCTGTTCAGTGCCCAAACACCTCTGGGGGAAGAACTTTGTCCTGATATCCAACCTAACCCTCCCCTGACACAGCTCCAGTCATTCCCTTGGGTCTGTCACTGGTCACCAGAGAAGAGAGATCAGTGCCTGCCCCTCTGCTTCCCCTCCAGAGGAAGCTGACTCTGTTTCCCTGTGTCCCTTCACCTCATCAGCCTAGATTTCCAAACACTTCTCAGTCTCTGGGTTTAGTTTTCATTCTCATCATTCCCTGAATCCTATTTCTCTGAGGAAGAATAAAGGGAAAACTCACATTCTGCCAGCATGTTCAGGAGAAATGCTGCTTTGGATGAGTCTCCCCAAAGTAATTCCAAGGAGGTGTTCACTCTCCAACTGTCCCTGTGGCTTAAGGTGCACTTTTCCTTGGTGTTGCAGGTCAGCCTCAACGATTCCCACAATCAGATGGTCGTTCACTGGGCAGGAGAGAAGAGCAACGTGATCGTGGCCTTGGCCAGAGACAGCCTATCTTTGCTGGGTCCCAAGAACAGTGATGTGAGTAACACAGCATGGCACCAGGTCCACCTGCTCAGCTTCTGGGCCAGGCAAGGGGACAGTGGCAGCTGAGCTACAGCCTGCCTTGCTCTTGTGTGCTGGGAAATGAAAGGAAGACCCATGAGTTTGAGTTCAGAGGCACAAAACCCCCATTGAATACCCTCTGTGTTGCCCCATGGGTTCAAGGCATGGTTGGGCAATCTCTGAAGCTTCCTTGCCTTGTGGTTTTCTGAGTTTTTAGCACATCTGTCAGAAGGGAACCCAAAAACTTTGTGCTCCTCTCACTGGGGTTTTTCCTTTGCAGGTTTATGTGTCCTATGACTATGGGAAGAGTTTCAAGAAGATTTCTGAGAGGTTCAGCTTCGATGTGGGGAACAGCAGCGACGTGGCCATTGCCCAGTTCTACCACAGCCCTGCTGACAACAAGAGGGTGAGGGGGACGTGGTTGCTTTGTCACTGCTGGCACAGGGCATAGCCCTTGGGCTGTCCTGGGGGTCCCCGGTGGTTGCTTTGTCACTGCTGGCACAGTGCATAGCCCTTGGAGCTGAGACACCCCTTGGGCTGTCCTGGGGGTCCCTGGGGAAGGGGTGGGATGTGCCAGGCACTGCTGCACCTCTTGTATGGCTTGGTGATGCTCAGGAGCATCAGAGTGTGGTGGGAGAGGGGGTGGCTGTGTTAGGCCAATTCCTCTCCTCCAGTTTTCCCTCACAAAGGCTCCCCAGGACATGTTCCTTCATTACTGTGCTCTGCCCTCATCTCCTGCTTTCATTCTTCCTTGTCTGTCCCTCCACTCCCAGTATATCTTCGTGGATGCCTTTGTCCCTTACCTCTGGATCACCACCGACTTCTGCAACACTATTCAAGGCTTCTCCATTCCCTTCAGAGCAGCAGACCTCCTCCTGCACAGCAGGAACCCCAACCTCCTCTTGGGCTTCGACAGGTCTCATCCTAAAAAACAGGTGAGCACTTCTGCTTAGGTGGGAAACCAGCATCCCACCTCCTCTCTGCTGGGATGTTCCCCATGCCTGTTACATGCCCCACAGCCAAGAGCCACCCTGCCTCATGCCAGGGCCGTGGGGGTTCATCCTTTGACTGTCCAGGGTGTCTGATCTCAGACTGCTGTAAGCAGAGCTGTCCCAAATTGGTCAGGACACCACTTTCCTCCAGGTCAGTCTGGTTTCTGACCTCTGGAGCAGTGAGGATATGGGACCTCAGGGTGGCTGCCTTATTTCCCTTCCCTTTTCCTTCATCCATGCTGCTCCCAGCTGTATTGATCTCCCTGACTATCATGGCCATAACTCTCCCTGGAGCACTGGCAGCTGAGGCAGGATGACCTCTGCAGTGTTTCATGCAGGCATGTGGTTTGGCTTTGGGTCTTGCATAACAAATTGCTTCTTGAATACAAACAGGTTGGTTTGTTGTTTTTTTTTTCCCCCCCGGAGCTATTGGTTACAGCTCCTTCAGGTAGACACAGGTGGTGTAAGGAAAACCTGGAGCTGAAATAACCACCCCCCAACATGTGACTGGGGGCAGCTGAGCAGGGTACTGTGCTGTTTTCAGTCTGGTTACAGCAAGGTGTGTGCTGGGAGCCACTGGGGCCTTCCCAGGATGTCAGAGCTGGGCAGGAGGAGAAGGAAAAGATCCTCTATCTCCCCTTCACCTTGACCTTACTGATGCCTGCAGATCTGCAACAACAGTGTGTTGCTCTGCTTGAGGTTTTCACACCTCTGAGGGTGAGACAGCTCTGCACAGATATTTACCCTTGCCATCACACTCCATGAGTACATTATAACAGGTTATTTTTGTCTCTGAGTTAGTGCAAAACCAGGAGGGTCAACAGATCCTTCTGGTAGGAGGCTAAAGGACAATTTTTTCCTATTTGGGTTATTCTCCTGCACCTACAAAGGTTGTTGCTGCTCCAGGAGCTGCCACATGAAGGGTAGTCATGGATGAACACAGGTCTGTCCTGCCTAAAGAATTGGGTCTGTTTGTATCTCAATGCCACTGGCATCTCTCACCTTTGTCATTGCAGCTCTGGAAATCAGATGACTTTGGCCAGACCTGGATAATGATCCAGGAACACGTAAAGTCCTTTTCTTGGTACGTATCACACCTGTGCACACCCAGCTCCTGTCTTCTCTCACTGCTCACCTCTTGCCTCCTTTGCTGCAAACCAAGGACATGGGTATCAAAGCATGTTCCAGCCCTGTCCCTGCTCCCCTTGCCAACAGACACTGTGGGGTGACAAGAGACATCCATCCCCACAGTCTCCCATGGGTGCTGCACATCCCTCCCCAGTTCTTTCCCTCTACTCCATCTCTTGAAGGGGCTCCTGCCTGTTGGTCTCTATGAGCACAGAGGTATCAGCACCACCTTTGTCCTTCCCAGGGGGGTTGAGCCCTATGATAAGCCCAACACGGTGTACATCGAGCGACATGAGCCTTCTGGGACCTCAACTGTTATTCGCAGCACTGACTTCTTCCAGAGCCGAGAAAACAAAGAGATAATCCTGGAAGATGTTGAAGATTTCCAGCTCAGGGACAAATATATGTTTGCAACAAAGTCTGTGGTAAGTGTCACTTGAGCAATTCAGCACTGAGGGTGAGGGTTGATGGTTTGGGACAAAACCACCATGGGCACAGCAAGAATGAGCTGCTAGGGATGATGCTGCTCACTGATGCACCTCACAGCCTTCAGACCTGATATTTGGCTTGTCACAGAGGTGTCACCCAGGCTGCCTGCAGCTGCCTTCCCCCCATGGACAGAGCAGTGCCCGTGCTGCTCTCCTGGCAGTGCTCAGAGTGGTGGTGTTTCCATGCTCCTGCCTTCAGCAGGCTGGGCAGAAGTAGGTCATCCTGCAAAGTGCTGGGACCCAGGAAAAAAACCACAGGATGCCTGGGAAGGAGGTTGGGGTGGGGGGTGGCAGGGGAAGGGGGATGTGGCTCAGCAGCTCCATGGTTAGGAGGCCACTTGTCAGAGAAGATTACCATCAAACGTGGACTAGGTCCAAGTAGCCTAATGTGCTCCAGCCTGGAAGGAAAGCTGGATTTTCAGTTTGCTTTCCGAAGAAAAGAGGATATGGATGAGTGAAAGTGTTCTTTTGGTCCTTCTACAGCCAGGGCCCCCCTGTAATTTTTACAGCTTTTGGTCAGGTTCAGACAAACCTGAAGGAAAGCAGGAAAGTTCTGTGATTTCTCTGACTAGGTCCAAGTAGCCTAATGTGCTCCAGCCTGGAAGGAAAGCTGGATTTTCAGTTTGCTTTCCGAAGAAAAGAGGATATGGATGAGTGAAAGTGTTCTTTTGGTCCTTCTACAGCCAGGGCCCCCCTGTAATTTTTACAGCTTTTGGTCAGGTTCAGACAAACCTGAAGGAAAGCAGGAAAGTTCTGTGATTTCTCTGAGGGCAAGGCCTTATGATCAAAA